GGCGGCTGCTGGGTTCCTGGGTGGCGCTCGCCAACCCGTGCCGTTAGAGGTCATCCTCAAGGTCACGCAGGAAGTCGGTGTCGGGAGGGGAGAGGATCCCGGGCTCCCCAGGCGGCGGGGTGTCCCAGATCTCAGCCCCATTCTGCCGGCTCCCGGGTCAAGGTCACCCCACAGGTTAGAGGCACCGGGAAGGGCAGGCCCTCGGGTCCCCGGGGGCTGGGCACCAACAGCCTCCGGGAAATCTGACCCGAAAAACGCCATTTTTTTATTTTTATTTTTCCTGTAGAATTTGATCCTCTTTCTCCTTTGTGGTGAGTGTGATGTCCACATGCACCTTTTTTTTTAAAAATTGTTATTTCCTGGTGAAAAAAAAGCTCGACCCTTGGAATGTAGGAGGCTTAGGTTTAAATCCTGGCACAGCCCCGATGGGCTGTGCGACCCTCAACCAACGGCCGGCCGTCTCTGAGCCGTCACGGAGCTGTTTGGGGCTTAAATGGAAGAACTGGGGGTGCCCGGGCCCTGCCCAGGGAAGGCGTGGGCACCCACAGGTTTCGTTTGCAGTCGCCAAGCGGACCACAGTTCCCGGGCGTCTGTAAGGGTGTTACCCGTAACCGGGTTGTGTGTGTGACCGCGTTAGACCTGTGTGTGCGTGTGCGTGTGCGTGTGCGTGTGTGTGTGTGTGTGTGTGTGTGTGTGTGTGTGTGACGGTAACTGTCATATCTAAACAGAAGTCAATCCCTTAAGCGCGGAGCTTACACTTAGTACCCAGCTCAGTTGTGGCGGGAGGTGCACCAGGCCTGCAGACGAGGGACCATGGAGGGGCCGCTGTCAAGGGCTGGTCGGTGTGTGTCGCCCTTGGCGTGGGTCTACAACACGCCGCACACACGTGGATGCTGAGAGCGTGTTGGGTTGGGGAATCAGAAGACAAGTTACCCTCTGACCTGGACTCCCCCCGTGACCTCTGACCGTCATTTGACCTCTGCGGGGCCAGCTGTTCCCTTTAGGGATTGGAGCGGAAGGTGCCCCCCGAGACGGGTCATTGAGGAAGACCCAAATGTTTGACCTGAAAAGGTGGTTTCATTCTACCTTCGACGCCTCTCGACAACTTACACCCATGAAATTGGCGTGACAGTGGGTAGAGCTTTAAGTTCGCAGAGTGGAAGGCAGTCTGAATGTTCGGGTTTTCGGGTCCGAGGCAGGTTGCCACATGGAGCGGAGACGTGAGAAAATCGTGCTCAGAAGTCCCCAAATATCTGCAAACTTGCCCTAATGCGGCCGCCAGAAATGGCTTCATCTTTCCTCTTTTAAAAAATATATTTTATTGATTTTTTACAGAGAGGAAGGGAGAGGGATAGAGAGCTAGAAACATCGATGAGAGAGACATCGATCAGCTGCCTCCTGCACATCTCCTACTGGGGATGTGCCCGCAACCCAGGTACATGCCCTTGACCGGTTAAGTTCGCAGAGTGGAAGGCAGTCTGAATGTTCGGGTTTTCGGGTCCGAGGCAGGTTGCCACATGGAGCGGAGACGTGAGAAAATCGTGCTCAGAAGTCCCCAAATATCTGCAAACTTGCCCTAATGCGGCCGCCAGAAATGGCTTCATCTTTCCTTTTTTATATATATATTTTTCTCATTGATTTTTAGAGAGAGTGGAAGGAAAGAGAGAGAAACATTAATGTGAGAGAGACACGTCAATGGGTTGCCTCCCGCATGCCCCTGACCAGGGCCTCGAACCCACAACTGAGGTACGTGTCCTTGACGGGAATCGAACCCGGACCCTTCAGTCGCAGGCCGACGCTCTACCCACTGAGCCAGACTGGCTGGGGCCATCTTTGCTTCTTCCTACCTGGGGTTTAATTCCGTGCCTGACATTTCTTCGTTGATATTAATATAGGTCTCTCGGCTGCTGGGGGCATTCCACAACCCAAAACAGGTGACCAGAGGTTTTGCTGGTGGTGTGAGTATAATTATGTCTTTTCTTTTTTTCCTTTTCGAAGTTTCTCAAGAAAGATGCTCTAACACATCATTTACATAGAATTAGGGTAAATTGGGCCTTACTCATACTGTATCTTAAAATTAGGGGCCAACATGCAGAAACCTATTAGGTCACATTTGCGAGAATTATGTTACAGCCGGCCATGTCAGCCTGTCGCTCTGGAGGGAGCCTTGTTAAAAATAGATGGATTTTTCCCTCGGGCCTGTTACTTTATTTCACAACCCCGTTGGGTAAGACGGGTTTTCTTCCAAACCTCGTCCACGTCGAGAACATATTGTTGAGAAGCTTCAAAACCTGCTTCGCGTTTTTATGTTGGGAGCTTCCCCAAGAGCCGTGGGCGGGTCGCCGGGTGGGGTGAACGCCTCGACGTCTGTCAAGTCCCGAGGCGTCCGCTGTCCTTACGCAGCCTGGATAGAGGGTCACGCTGGCGGATCCTCTATTTCTCCCGAGACCCGTGCTCCTCCCGTCCCCGGCGCCGGCGTCCTGTGCTTCTAAAAGCTGAGGCCGCATATTCGGAGCTCGCTAAGCCTGTGGGTCGGCGGCCCCCTGTATGCCGTTGCTTTAACCAGATTCGTGCAGAATCCGGGTGCGTGTCCCGATTCCTCTGCTCCCAGGTCACATCCTGGCCCGTGAGGCGTCTGTAGGACCACAGTGCGTTTTCCCTGCCTTTGCTCTGAGCTGCGGCCTCCAGAGTTTTGGCACGTTTTTATTTCTCCATTTGAAATGCTGGCTTCATTTTGTGTGCAGCCTTTGCAATAAACCGTTGGTGCTGCTTTTTAAACACACTTGCGAGACCCGTGCTCCTCCCGTCCCCGGCGCCGGCGTCCTGTGCTTCTAAAAGCTGAGGCCGCATATTCGGAGCTCGCTAAGCCTGTGGGTCGGCGGCCCCCTGTGTGCCGTTGCTTTAACCAGATTCGTGCGGAATCCGGGTGCGTGTCCCGATTCCTCTGCTCCCAGGTCACATCCTGGCCCGTGAGGCGTCTGTAGGACCACAGTGCGTTTTCCCTGCCTTTGCTCTGAGCTGCGGCCTCCAGCAGGCTTTAGTTTCCGTGGCCTGATGCCGCTGATCCGACGTGTTGGGAGAACGGGGAGCAGCAGCCAGCGGTTCCGGGCTCTGCTCATGCGAAGATGCAGGCTGCGGCTGCACCTCAAGGCCACGGGCGGCCAAGCGAGCATTTCAGACGCGTTTCTGGGAGCTCACGAGATGGTCCCTGCTCTGCTACTTAATTTCCAGGCTCCCCATTAAAAAAAAAAATTGGCCTGGTCGGGAGGGGGCTGTATCTGGAAGAAATACGAAGAGGAGCGAATCTTTTCCAAGATTTCTGCGGTTTGTGCAGAACAGTGTGACCAGTCCCCCTGCTCAGGGAGTGTCCCTGGGAGGCAAAAGACCAGGGGAACTGGAATCAGATTTTTTTTTTTAAAAGTAGCAACAGGTGACCGGGACTGGGAAAGGCCAGGGAGCTTGTCTGGGCCAAACCTCAGGTAGGGCAGAGTCCCCGAGTGACGATGGAGAGTTTTCTAGATGGAAAGAGAGGGTCAGCCTGTTATCTGTTATCTTTTTTTTTAAAATATATTTTATTGATTTTTGACAGAGAGGAAGGGAGAGGAATAGAGAGTTAGAAACATCGATGAGAGAGAAACATTGATCAGCTGCCTCCT